GTTTTGTGCAATGTTTTAACTAATCTTTAAAAATTTTTGGCGCACATTTGTCTTTTAGCCCGCTGTGCCATGGATTTGGAATTGGTTTCTAAAGTCTTTCATAAATTTTGGGCTGTAACCTTTTCATCCTTCACGCCATTTGAGAAGGCCTTAGATCAATACATGAAGAATGCAATGTGGTATTTGTGCGTTCATCCAGTAATCGGAGCATCATCTCTTGTTTGCGTTACGAATGGGTGCACCACGAATGTGGCGGGTGACCCTAGGACCAACGGGAAGTCGGAAAATCCGAAGAAGCTAGTAAGTTGGCCGACGAATTCAGCGAGATCCTCACCATTCAGGATAAACACAACTGCTGCCAGAAGTGTCGATCAGCTCTGTTGAGTAGAGGCCGCATGGTTAGGTCTTATTTTGTCAGATGACACGCCTTGCGCAATGGCGAAACTTCGGTCGACTGGACGCGTGCTTGTGTGGCGGTCACAGGAAAGTTACTATAGCCATATTTTCACCTCCCGATGGTAACAGATAGCATCGTTCCGAGTTGCACAGTGTTCCTCTTAAAGAGCCCTGGCCTCAGTGTTTGTAAATCTCGAAGCTGCAAATTCAAGTTTTTTGCTACTGAAAAATTTAGATCCTTCATTTTTAAATGCTGTCATTCCCTCATTCTGTCCGATCCTCGGTTTACACCTTTATAGTCCTTTGAGTGAACAGAAATTACCCGTGTATATACATCAGCCTGACTCTACCCGTGTCGATTCCTCTTACTAATCAAAGTCCATCCGCCACATGAATGCGTAGCTGCTGTCTAACTGTGTTATATCTGACTGCTGTTCAAACCTCAGTGCTTGGTGCCAGAAAAGAACTCACCACCAAGGAATGTAACCGCTTCAATGCAGCAAACAATTGCATACAAGTGCGTGCGAGTGAGGAAAATTACAACGACCCCGTGCTATTAAAAGGGGACTTTCTGACGTCAACCCAGATCGGTCGTTATGTGTTCAGTGGACACACGTTAACATCATTTGTCCTTCTGTGAACTGTTGGAACGGTGATCGCATTCGGTCACGCTTCTATGACGTGCCTGAACACTCATCCATTTTTGCTGAATTGATTGAATTAGTGACTGACCTGGATGCTCGCTGGTTTTTATATTCAGCTTACGGCGGAGTTTTATCGTCTTAGTAGGTTGTGGACGTCTTGTGGTTACTTTCGGGAAACCGACCTTTCTGATGGACTGCCACAACCCTGACGTCTGCCACGCAGCCGTCCAGAAACCAAAGGACGTCAGTGCAACCATGGCACCCTACCGCTATACCCAGTCTGAGGGCACGCGCGCAGTTATTTCGTGAATGAACGGTGATCGACGGAAATTCTTCCCTTCTGTTACGACTACTCACGAGTGACGCGATTTACGTCTGTTCATCGTGAAATCTTTCAGTTTCCTTGCCGCCCAATATTTGGTTCTTCGCTCCTACTTGGGGTCTGCTCATTCTCTTGTAACTGATTTGAGTATTTTGTTGCCTGCTCATCTAGCCTTGTAAGTTTTATTTATTTTCGACCGTCCGCTCTAAAGGATAAATGGGCCGGTCGGTGATCAAACTCTAAGCTCCCCGGATGGTAGCTGAGCGTGTCATCCGCTGCAGCATTTGACGTCTCAGTAGACCCTACTTATTGTACCACCTAAATACCGCCTCTGCCAAATAGCATTCCTTGTACGGAATCACTTTGACGGCCATGCACGTTTATGAACTTGATGCAATCGTGTGTTAAGAAGAGGAGCCCTCAACTGCTTCAGTATGCTATCAGTCGCAAGATAAAATGAATTACATGGAGGCTGGACCGAACTAGATTGGAAAGAGGTTCAACGGAGGAGGTTGATCAGTCACTCAATTAAATGGTTCACTGGCTCTCACTCAGAATGTGTGCAGGATAAAATTACCCGGCCAGTCGGCAGCTTTTTGTATGCAGATTAGTTTGATGGATTATTTAGCTGCTCCCTCGCACCGAGAGTAGAGGTATATGGACACAAACGGGCAGCTAGACAAAGATCCCCTGAAATGTTGAACGATGGGTGCTAAACAACTGACTTTTCTGCTGTTTTTGAGATATAAATATCACCATACATCGCGATACCTGAATCATTTGGAAAGAAATTTTCCCCCTTGTCAATGGAATGATTTCATCAGATTTACCGAAATCGAGAGTCATTTCTTTATTGCAGACGAAGTTTTGTTTGGCTATGATGGGGCTCGTTTCCGAGTAACATAATCCAATTTAGAAGACGGATGGTGACTCCTGAGACAGAATAATACTGGAGGAATAACTAATGGAATGTATTGTAGTAAGTAAAATTCTTGCGTTCATAGGGAGAATGCTAGGTCGCGCAGCAAACAAGGCGAATTGTGAAAATCTATAATTACGGGATGACGTATATCATGCCAAATGGCAAACGCATGAATGATTAAAGAGCGTTACTTCTGCTGTCAGGGTGACCCACTCTTCGCTGGCGTCGAAGTTAATTAGGATTCACAGATGTATAAATCAGTGTGATGGTACTCACGCAACTACTTTCTTCGCATTCTCGACCGCAACCTCTCGCTCACTCGAGCCTGTGATTGAAAGCACAAGCAAATTTTCGACGTCGACCCAACCACCTCTGGGACGAGTCCATTCTAATCCGACGAAATTTTGTTAGAATGTGACCAACGTGGTTGTCTACTTCAATATTGGCTTGCCTTATACACAAGTTAAATTCTATGTAAAGTGTGCGGTTTGCCCCACGCATTATCACAATCTCCTCTTCCAGCCTATTCTTTGCACATGATTTCCCTACCACCGTAGAACCAGTTAGTCTCCTTAGTTTTAAAATAAACCACATTTTTATAAGCAACATGGCACTTGCTCCCAATTCGAATTGTTCCAACTCCGGCTCCACTTTTGCTCATTGTGACTCCGGCCGTTTACCCTACCGCCCAAGGTCAGCAATAGTTTTCACTTTTAGTTCATGTCAGCCGGCTTCATCTTTGACCACGTGCCCATTGTCCCGGGTTTTCTCAGCTCATTTAACAAGCATAGCCTGCTTCTAGAGAAATGGTGACCTGCTGTTTTAATAATGTTTAATCATGGTACCTCGCTTTCTCCATTCCTATATCGCAACCCTTGCTTATAAGCCGTCTCTATCTTTGGGCGAACAAGGGAACTTCATGGGGTTACCCCACGTTCGGACAACGCCAATTCGATTATTTAATGTCGATATCCTCCCAAACACGAGTTATCGCCCTGTTCAGATTGTCCCGGCCACAAATTTTGGGTTCTTTGAAGAAGTCACTAAGTGTGATGGAAATCGACGCTTGCATCTCTTGTATTTGGCCTGATGGCACAGCTAACCTGTAAGTCTGCGTGAGCGGGTTCTACCAGCTTTCTAATACTGCCCACCTTTGCTTTCCACCTCGGTGACCATCACGGCACTAGCTGAGTTTCCCGAAATCAGGCAAGCAACTGAGTCTCAGCCACTGGTGTAAGGATACGCCTAGCTCTCTCAGGGTTTTTTAGACATGTGGCTCTTCTTGTCTCGTGCACGTTTGGCGCACTCTGAGCGCTTGATTACCAACACCTAATTACCAACCGGAAGCTCATTGTATGTGCTTTGGATAATGGAGGCAAATGCAAGACGGGGTATGTTGGTCTTCTGCAGCTCCTATGAATGAAAAACTGAGCGTCGTCTTCTATCAATTGCATGGGAACCCAAATCTTTGCTGCTCCGACTCATTCGATACCCGAAAGTGACTGAACTGCTCACATCGCTAATTCCATGACCGGCATACTCCGGCACTTTTTGCAGCATATCTAAGTAAGCTTTCTTTGTCTACAGGCCATTTAAACACCCGAAAATACCAGGCGACCTCAACAACCTGTACCATTGATCTCTGATCCAATGATTAGCTCGATTTCCGATTATGGCATGACTTATACGCAAGTTCACTTCCATACAGGGTAATATTTTAGCCTCATGTATTAATAATAACAATGTTTATTCCCAACTTGTGGTTGGCACACCGTCTGGCATGATCATAGGTGCACATTCGGAATGAAGAATGACCATCTTCTCAGTCAACCTATTTTTAGCAACTTACTTTGCCTCACAAGTGGAACCAGCTAGTTCATGTAGTTCCAGATTAAACCACTTTTTATACGCAACTTGCCGTCTGCGCCTAATTCGAATTATTCTATCTCCATCTCCATTTTTGCTTGTAGTGACACTGGCCATTTAGTAAACCACCCAACACCACACACGGCCAGCAATGGTTTTCACTTTCAGTTCATGTCAGCCGGATTCATCTTCGAAATAGTCATTTCTCATGCCCATCCCTCTCTACATGTTGGGTAATAGACCTTTTGTTAGAATTTCATCAGAATAGTCCGCAAACCCCCAGTCATGCTCCATTCTGAATGTAAACGTATGATCATATCAGACAGTATGCCACCCACAAGCTAGGAATAAACATTATCTTATTATTATACCTGATTATGTTGATAATAACATTGATATATATTCCCAAATTGTCGGTGGAATACCCTCAAGCATGATCATAATTTTAGAGTCACAATAACGCATGCCTCAGGAGGTTTGTGGTCACTGAGGACTGTGCGGAAAGCAGTGTCATGAAAAGCAGGCAGCAAAATAGAAGGGAAAGACAACACAGTTGCTACTGTTTTTTCGGGAAGATCAGATATTTTCAATTTGAAAGTGGCAAACTAAAACCCGAAACCAGCACTGAAGCCTCGCGACCTTGTTCTGTAGGGCTTATGGCCAGGTTCACGGAAGGTGTAAACATGGTTGATGAAGTTTAGGGACTGGCAATACGGATAAATGTTAGCAGGAATCTCAGAATCAAGGTGCACGGTGAAAATGTAGAGGCACAGTGGTGTCGCTGTCGCAGTTGAATCGGGTATAGTGTTCCCTTGGAAAAGTGACATGGTGGCAACAAACAACCGGAATGCTAACTGTTTAGAAAATTGTTGACTTTGTGGGAGGCACATACTGAAAGTCCACCGGAATAAGCCAATACAAAAAAGGTTAAGCAGATTAGAATGAACACGTCTAGGAGACATTTAGGCCAGGTGGATAATTTGTTCGTATTTTCAGTCAGTGGAACGAGTCGGCGGGATGGTATGGTCAACAGTAGGAAGGGAATAGTTGCGGTTGTGCTATCAAACTGGTAATAGCAGTGCCGTGCCATTACTGGCGTGACATATTTCGGCTTTTGAACAGCCCCATAGTGGACGCCATGTTTGAGGTCAGTGGCTGGAATGTGCAATTCCTTGAGTAGCATGGTTTTTTGGTTGGTCGAGGGGACCTGAAGTGGTAGAAAAACTGAGGTAAGATTGCAGGTACGGTTGATCTTCAATGGGGTCCCTTCGAGATAGCCACCAAAATGCTTTATCTTCCGAACGGTTACTTCTGTTTAACAATCGACGCAATCACACCGCTACTGACATTTATAAATAGGGCTTTCTGCCACATGGGACGGAATGAATACTGAATACAGAAAATGGCTTATGACTTGAAGTCAAATCATCTGAATCAATAGGCATAGATAGTAATCAGAATAGGTGTCGACCGTCTAGGAGTGTTTTCTGGTTTTCATTATAATCGACAGCTCATCTAACGTGGATTACCTTACCTCGTAATTTCTAACACGATATTACTTCAGTTTCCGTATAATGGTCCTGTGTACAAAATAAAAGAACCTGGGCGCATAATAGATCGGGCAGCCGTCAGTTTTGTTCACTCGCTTTGTCATGCAGCCCAAGCGGACTTTGGTCACAGTATCTGGGCGGAAACCTCCGAGGGTTTTAAGACACAAACGGGAAACTCACCGGAATGGAAGAGGAAATAAAGGGGCATGCTAATTACTGAATAATTACTTGTAAATTGCAAACAGAAAACAGAACACTAAAGCGGGAGTCACGTGCAGTTCAATAACAAAGCCGGTTTATTTGAACTGAAGCTGGAATTGCTTGCCGACTATGTGTGAACTTGAACAGTGGAGTAAGCGTCGGGATGAAGAAAGCGTGAGCGGAGATGAGGTGGAGAAATCTGTGAAACGGATGAATGGGATCTGAGGCGCGGAATAAAGCATCACACATTGAAAAAAGCTAACAGAGTTAACTAGGGACAGAACCAGGCGTGAATCGTCTTGGCACAGAAAATGCAGACGGGAGAAAGACTATTGGGTTCGATGAAGATGCACTAGAAAATAATTGCAATGTGTACAGTTGGGCTCTGTCGGTGACAGATCTGCTATTCAGGAATCAGCTGCATGTGTACATGCATTCCTTAAAAATTGTCCAAACTATAAGCTGGGAGGACGTGGGTTCGATTCTCTCGGCAGTTTCGTGAGATGTGCATTGCTTATTGTTCTTGATAAAGAAAAAGCACTTCTATAGTGCTTCTCGGTTTTTCGGCATAGATTGCCTTCACACGCAGGACGAAGTCTTCACACATCTTTGTAGTCGTCTGGCTACCCAAATAGTAGTGACAATAATAATGATTATTCCAACTTTTGGGAAAGAAAAAGCACTTCTATAGTGCTTCTCGGTTTTTCGGCATAGATTGCCTTCACACGCAGGACGAAGTCTTCACACATCTTTGTAGCCGTCTGGCTACCCAAATAGTAGTGACAATAATAATGATTATTCCCAACTTTTGGGGGGCTTACCGTTAGGTATGACAATAATGTTACAGTCAAAATAAAAGCATGACTGGCGGAGATTGTGGACACATGTGGTAAGGAAAAGGGACAGCATTATCCGAAGTAGGCATGAGCACCCTTAAACCGGCATGGACAGAGAAACACCGTCACCATGTGTTGCTGAAGACAATATCGAGCAATAACGGGTCTTTGGGATTTGAACGTGGCCGGTAGTAACATGTCATATCTGACACGTGACAAGAAAAGTATAACGGTGAAAAATGATGAACCAGAACATCAGATTTGGTAATGCAGCACAGTTGGCGTCATCCAGCCGGTCATGTTAAAATGAAACACAAAGACACCGCTAAAGCCCCGGGGCTTGGACCATTGGGCTCATGGCCTTGGTCACAAAAAGCGTAAGTGGGGGTGACGAAGTGGAGGGATTGGCAAAGCGGATAAGCGTTAACAGGAATCACAGAAACGTTGTGTAGAGTAAAAATGCAGAGAATCGCCAGGTGTCGCTACGCTACCTGGAATGTGTGCAAAATATAAAAAATAATAACGATAGAATGAGTATACAATACTGAGGGGGGTCAAGAGGAACAGGCTCAAAAAGAGTTGTTCTACTTAAAATAGTTTGACGTTGGCACAGGTCAGCGAATAAATAATAATCCAATCACTGTCGTCCAGACGTATTTTGTTTACGATTCTCACGTATAATAAATTCACAAGATCGTCCGAAATGTTCTGATACCAGCGTTAGCACAAGAAACACGCAAACGGACGATGTAAGCGCGAGCGAAATCAGAAGATAAATTTGAGCTAAATTTGAGATAAATTTGGGCTTGTCAACTTCTTGCTAGCCACATTACCCACCTCCCCCGATCCCGCTAGCAATCTTTCTGTCGTTCTAATCAACACCCGCTCTCTCTTACCTAAATTGCACTACATCCAAGCTATCTCCACTATAGCTTGTCCAACCTTCATTTGCATCACAGAAACGTGGCTCTC